AAGCATGGCAACCGCAGACCCGGACCCGGACATGTCTGGACCGAGGCCCAGACATTTGTCTGGACTGGTCCAGACGTCCGGTAATCCGGACAGGCACCGGACAACCGGACAGGACCGTACCCGGACCGTCCGGACCGGTACACCAGACACAAAAAAATGTCCAGACTGGCAACAAAAAACAAAAAACAGAAAAAAAACAAAAAAAAAACATTAGTAATAAGCAGTACTAACACAGCTTACTGTCTTTCACTATTCCCAACTTTTCACAGACATTCACAAAGGCTCACACAACACTTGAAACCAGTTCTCAACAGACCAATCCCAAGTCAGTTCAGAAAAGAGTACGAAAATCAGAAAAAAAAACAGAACTCTGAACTTCGAAGTTAGACTTTCATATTCATATGAAATTCGAAAATTTAAACTGTTGAGTTATTCAGATCTGCGTAAGAACAGATCTGAGATCTGGTCAGGACCAGATCTAAGACTTGATCTCAGATCTGACCAATATTCTCTCTCTCTCTCTCTCTCTCTCTCTCTCTCTCTCTCTCTCTCTCTCTCTCTCTCTCTCTCTCTCAGTCGGGTACTAACCTGTGAAGTTGGCGCCGAGATGCAGGTACCTCGAAGATGAAGCTGGAGATATGGCGCCACAGGTAAGTCTCCCTGGCCTCCGCCAACCATCTCTCTCTCTCTGCAACACTACTCTACTCCTACCTGCGCCCAGCGCTGAAGACTACCACTACAGCTACTAGCGCCCAGCGCTGAAGACTACTGCTAGCGCTAAAGCTACTCCTGTAGCGCTCCTCCAGAGAGTGCTGCTGCCGAATCCTGAAGACTACTCCTGCCTTCTGCCTCCTGAACTGCACGTGAAGTGCCTGGCCAGTCCCTATGAACTAACTCTTCCTGTAGGGCGGGCCAATCTTATATAGTGCTGGCCCGTCCAGGAGGCTGCTATTGCCAATGCCCAAACGTGCTAGACCCTGAGGAAGCTTCCGGGAGGCCGCTCTTGCCAATGCCAGAACATGCTAGCCCCTGAGGAAGCTTCCGGGTAGTTTCCAGGTAGCTTCTGGCTAAAGACTGAGGGGCTATAGGCCCTTGTTTTCAGGCTTTTAGGCTGAAAGCGACACAGGGCCTGTAGGCCCTCGTTTTCAGGCTTTTAGGCTGAGAACGCTGGTCGGGCCTGTGTGGCTGCACAGTATGCCACAGTGAGCATGCGCTGAAACTGTTCGTTTGCCTTTTGCTGTGCAGCATACTCACACTAGGACTGTGGTACTTAATTCTGGGCGAGATTGCGGCCAGATGCATCCAGGCGTGGCCGTGCGGTCAGATATATTTAAAATATTTCTAGCGTGAGTAGGCCCTTGCTTCGGCTTTCTTTTTGTGGTTTCTATTTTGTTGTTTCTTCTTTTAGCTCTCCCTTCCTTTACTCTGCCTCCTCTCAGGGCATACTCACACTACGACTTTTTTTTTACTCATCTATGGCCGCAATTGCGGTCAGATGCATTCGGGTCCGACCGTAAATGCAGTCAGATACATTTAGGATAACAGCAACCATCTTCACCCGAATAGAACACGCGGTCATTATAGCGGTATTTGGAGCAACTTTCAGTCTAGATACAGCGAAAATGACCAGATGGGTGTTGTATTCGGCTGAAGATGGTAGAGTGTGATTACGCCCTCACATACAAAGCTCGCTGTAGCGGTGTACCCCTTTGGACCAGCGTGCGTCATGCCCTTCCAGTTCCAGACCGCCTGTCTGTTCCTGGATTCTTGTAGACCCCGCATCCAGGTTGTCCCCTCCCTCTTTTGTCACAGTTCATTCTACCAGTCCATTGAGACACGGGTCAGTCACACTCTGCTGCTCCCTCTCTCTCTCTCTCTCTCTCTCTCTCTCTCTCTCTCTCTCTCTCTCTCTCTCTCTCTCTCTCTCTC